CTGTGTCTCTGTGTCTCACTGTGTTTCTGTGTCTCTGTCCCCGTGCTAGGAGTGTCTCCCCGTGTCTCTGTGTCTCACTGTGTCTCTGTGTCTCACTGTGTCTCACTGTGTCTCTGTGTCTCACTGTGTCTCTGTGTCTCCATGTCTCACTGTCTCCCTGTGTCTCTGTCCCCGTGCTAGGAGTGTCTCTGTGTCTCACTGTGTTCCTGTGTCTCTGTCTCCGTGCTAGGAGTGTCTCACTGTGTCTCTGTCCCCGTGTCTCCCTGTGTCTCTGTCCCCGTGCTAGGAGTGTCTCTGTGTCTCACTGTGTTCCTGTGTCTCTGTCTCCGTGCTAGGAGTGTCTCACTGTGTCTCTGTCCCCGTGTCTCTGTGTCTCTGTCTCCGTGCTAGGAGTGTCTCTGTGTCCCCGTGTCTCTGTGTCTCACTGTGTCTCTGTCCCCGTGTGTCTGTGTCTCACTGTGTCTCTGTCTCCATGTCTCACTGTGTCTCCCTGTGTCTCTGTCTCCGTGCTAGGAGTGTCTCCCCGTGTCTCTGTGTCTCTGTGTCTCTGTCCCCGTGTCTCTGTGTCTCTGTGTCTCTGTCCCCGTGTCTCCGTGTCTCTGTCTCCCTGTGTCTCTGTCCCCGTGTCTCCCCGTGTCTCTGTGTCTCCCCGTGTCTCTGTGTCTCACTGTGTCTCTGTCTCTGTCTCCCTGTGTCTCTGTCCCCCTGCTAGGAGTGTCTCCCTGTGTCTCTGTGTCTCTGTCCCCGTGCTAGGAGTGTCTCACTGTGTCTCTGTGTCCCCGTGTCTCACTGTCTCCCTGTGTCTCTGTCTTCCTGCTAGGAGTGTCTCTGTGTCTCCCTGTGTCTCTGTCTCACTGTGTCTCTGTCTCACTGTGTCTCTGTCCCCGTGTCTCTGTGTCTCCATGTCTCACTGTCTCCCTGTGTCTCTGTCCCCGTGCTAGGAGTGTGTCTGTGTCTCCCTGTGTCTCTGTCCCCGTGCTAGGAGTGTCTCCCCGTGTCTCCCCGTGTCTCCCCTTGTCACTGTGTCTCACTGTGTCTCTGTCTCACTGTCTCCCTGTGTCTCTGTGTCTCCATGTCTCTGTGTCTCCCTGTGTCTCTGTCTCCGTGCTAGGAGTGTCTCTGTGTCTCACTGTGTCACTGTGTCTCTGTCTCCCTGTGTCTCTGTCCCCCTGCTAGGAGTGTCTCTGTGTCCCCGTGTCTCCCCGTGTGTCTCTGTGTCTCTGTCTCCGTGCTAGGAGTGTCTCTGTGTCTCCCCGTGTCTCTGTGTCCCCGTGTCTCACTGTGTCTCTGTGTCTCACTGTGTCTCACTGTGTCTCTGTGTCTCACTGTGTCTCACTGTGTCTCCATGTCTCACTGTCTCCCTGTGTCTCTGTCCCTGTGCTAGGAGTGTCTCTGTGTCTCACTGTGTTCCTGTGTCTCTGTCTCCGTGCTAGGAGTGTCTCACTGTGTCTCTGTCTCCCTGTGTCTCTGTCCCCGTGCTAGGAGTGTCTCTGTGTCTCCCTGTGTCTCTGTCCCCGTGCTAGGAGTGTCTCCCCGTGTCTCCCCGTGTCTCCCCGTGTCTCTGTGTCTCACTGTGTCTCTGTGTCTCACTGTGTCTCACTGTGTCTCTGTGTCTCACTGTGTCTCTGTGTCTCCATGTCTCACTGTCTCCCTGTGTCTCTGTCCCCGTGCTAGGAGTGTCTCTGTGTCTCACTGTGTTCCTGTGTCTCTGTCTCCGTGCTAGGAGTGTCTCACTGTGTCTCTGTCTCCCTGTGTCTCTGTCCCCGTGCTAGGAGTGTGTCTGTGTCTCCCTGTGTCTCTGTCCCCGTGCTAGGAGTGTCTCCCCGTGTCTCCCCGTGTCTCCCCGTGTCTCTGTGTCTCGCTGTGTCTCACTGTGTCTCTGTGTCTCACTGTGTCTCTGTGTCTCTGTCCCCGTGTCTCCCTGTGTCTCTGTCTCCGTGCTAGGAGTGTCTCTGTGTCTCACTGTGTTCCTGTGTCTCTGTCTCCGTGCTAGGAGTGTCTCACTGTGTCTCTGTCCCCGTGTCTCTGTGTCTCTGTCTCCGTGCTAGGAGTGTCTCTGTGTCCCCGTGTCTCTGTGTCTCACTGTGTCTCTGTCCCCGTGTGTCTGTGTCTCACTGTGTCTCTGTCTCCATGTCTCACTGTGTCTCCCTGTGTCTCTGTCTCCGTGCTAGGAGTGTCTCCCCGTGTCTCTGTGTCTCTGTGTCTCTGTCCCCGTGTCTCTGTGTCTCTGTGTCTCTGTCCCCGTGTCTCCGTGTCTCTGTCTCCCTGTGTCTCTGTCCCCGTGTCTCCCCGTGTCTCTGTGTCTCCCCGTATCTCTGTGTCTCACTGTGTCTCTGTCTCTGTCTCCCTGTGTCTCTGTCCCCCTGCTAGGAGTGTCTCCCTGTGTCTCTGTGTCTCTGTCCCCGTGCTAGGAGTGTCTCACTGTGTCTCTGTGTCCCCGTGTCTCACTGTCTCCCTGTGTCTCTGTCCCCGTGTCTCACTGTGTCTCTGTGTCTCCCCGTGTCTCTGTGTCTCACTGTGTCTCTGTCTCTGTCTCCCTGTGTCTCTGTCCCCCTGCTAGGAGTGTCTCCCTGTGTCTCTGTGTCTCTGTCCCCGTGCTAGGAGTGTCTCACTGTGTCTCTGTGTCCCCGTGTCTCACTGTCTCCCTGTGTCTCTGTCTTCCTGCTAGGAGTGTCTCTGTGTCTCCCTGTGTCTCTGTCTCACTGTGTCTCTGTCTCACTGTGTCTCTGTCCCCGTGTCTCTGTGTCTCCATGTCTCACTGTCTCCCTGTGTCTCTGTCCCCGTGCTAGGAGTGTGTCTGTGTCTCCCTGTGTCTCTGTCCCCGTGCTAGGAGTGTCTCCCCGTGTCTCCCCGTGTCTCCCCTTGTCACTGTGTCTCACTGTGTCTCTGTCTCACTGTCTCCCTGTGTCTCTGTGTCTCCATGTCTCTGTGTCTCCCTGTGTCTCTGTCTCCGTGCTAGGAGTGTCTCTGTGTCTCACTGTGTCACTGTGTCTCTGTCTCCCTGTGTCTCTGTCCCCCTGCTAGGAGTGTCTCTGTGTCCCCGTGTCTCCCCGTGTGTCTCTGTGTCTCTGTCTCCGTGCTAGGAGTGTCTCTGTGTCTCCCCGTGTCTCTGTGTCCCCGTGTCTCACTGTGTCTCTGTGTCTCACTGTGTCTCACTGTGTCTCTGTGTCTCACTGTGTCTCACTGTGTCTCCATGTCTCACTGTCTCCCTGTGTCTCTGTCCCTGTGCTAGGAGTGTCTCTGTGTCTCACTGTGTTCCTGTGTCTCTGTCTCCGTGCTAGGAGTGTCTCACTGTGTCTCTGTCTCCCTGTGTCTCTGTCCCCGTGCTAGGAGTGTGTCTGTGTCTCCCTGTGTCTCTGTCCCCGTGCTAGGAGTGTCTCCCCGTGTCTCCCCGTGTCTCCCCGTGTCTCCCCGTGTCTCTGTGTCTCACTGTGTCTCTGTGTCTCACTGTGTCTCACTGTGTCTCTGTGTCTCACTGTGTCTCTGTGTCTCCATGTCTCACTGTCTCCCTGTGTCTCTGTCCCCGTGCTAGGAGTGTCTCTGTGTCTCACTGTGTTCCTGTGTCTCTGTCTCCGTGCTAGGAGTGTCTCACTGTGTCTCTGTCCCCGTGTCTCCCTGTGTCTCTGTCTCCGTGCTAGGAGTGTCTCCCCGTGTCTCCCCGTGTCTCTGTGTCTCACTGTGTCTCACTGTGTCTCTGTCCCCGTGTCTCTGTGTCTCTGTGTCTCCATGTCTCACTGTCTCCCTGTCCCCCTGTCCCCGTGCTAGGAGTGTCTCTGTGTCTCTGTGTCTCACTGTGTCTCACTGTGTCTCTGTGTCTCACTGTGTCCCCGTGTGTCTGTGTCTCTGTGTCTCTGTGTCTCACTGTGTCTCTGTCCCCGTGTGTCTCTGTGTCTCCCTGTGTCTCTGTCCCCGTGCTAGGAGTGTCTCTGTGTCTCCCTGTGTCTCTGTCTCACTGTCTCCCTGTCCCCGTGTCTCACTGTGTCTCTGTGTCTCCCTGTCCCCCTGTCCCCCTGCTAGGAGTGTCTCTGTGTCTCTGTGTCTCTGTGTCTCCCTGTGTCTCTGTCTCACTGTCTCCCTGTCCCCCTGTCCCCCTGCTAGGAGTGTCTCTGTGTCTGTGTCTCACTGTGTGTCTCTGTGTCTCACTGTGTCTCACTGTGTCTCTGTGTCTCCCTGTGTCTCTGTCTCACTGTCTCCCTGTCCCCCTGTCCCCCTGCTAGGAGTGTCTCTGTGTCTCTGTGTCTCTGTCTCCATGTCTCCCTGTCCCCCTGTCCCCCTGCTAGGAGTGTCTCTGTGTCTCTGTGTCTCTGTCTCACTGTCTCCCTGTCCCCCTGTCCCCCTGCTAGGAGTGTCTCTGTGTCTCTGTGTCTCACTGTGTCTCTGTCTCACTGTGTCTCACTGTGTCTCTGTGTCTCTGTCCCCCTGTCCCCCTGCTAGGAGTGTCTCTGTGTCTCTGTGTCTCACTGTGTCTCTGTCTCACTGTGTCTCTGTGTCTCTGTCTCCCTGTGTCTCTGTGTCTCTGTGTCTCACTGTCTCCCTGTCCCCCTGTCCCCCTGCTAGGAGTGTCTCTGTGTCTCTGTGTCTCTGTGTCTCCCTGTGTCTCTGTCTCACTGTCTCCCTGTCCCCCTGTCCCCCTGCTAGGAGTGTCTCTGTGTCTCCCTGTGTCTCTGTCTCACTGTCTCCCTGTCCCCCTGTCCCCCTGCTAGGAGTGTCTCTGTGTCTCTGTGTCTCTGTGTCTCCCTGTGTCTCTGTCTCACTGTCTCCCTGTCCCCGTGTCTCACTGTCTCTCTGTGTCTCCATGTGTCTCTGTCCCCGTGCTAGGAGTGTCTCTGTGTCTCTGTGTCTCCCTGTGTCTCCATGTCTCACTGTCTCCCTGTCCCCCTGTCCCCCTGCTAGGAGTGTCTCTGTGTCTCTGTGTCTCACTGTGTCTCACTGTGTCTCTGTCCCCGTGTCTCTGTGTCTCCGTGTCTCTGTGTCCCCCTGTCCCCCTGTCCCCCTGCTAGGAGTGTGAGGCTCAGGGCGAGGATTTCGAGAGGCAGCAGCTGCTGGCGACCAGCGCCGAGGATGCCGACCGCTGGGAGCGGAAGAAGCGGAAGAGGAATCCGGATCCCGGATTCTCAGGTGGCTTTACAACACAACGTGGTGGATAGATCGCCCGGAGAATCCGGATCCCGGATTCTCAGGTGGCTTTACAACACAACGTGGTGGCGGATCGCCGGGGAATCCGGATCCCGGATTCTCGGATTGCTTTAAAACTCAGCCGGTGCACAACGTGGTGGGCGGATCGCCGGGGAATCCGGATCCCGGATTCTCAGGTGGCTTTACAACACAACGTGGTGGATAGATCGCCCGGAGAATCCGGATCCCGGATTCTCAGGTGGCTTTACAACACAACGTGGTGGATAGATCGCCGGGGGAATCCGGATTCCGGATTCTCAGTTCGCTTCACAGCTCAGCCGGTGCACAACGTGGTGGGCGGATCGCCGGGGAAATCCGGATCCCGGATTCTCAGGTGGCTTTACAACACAACGTGGTGGGCGGATCGCCAGGGGAATCCGGATTCCGGATTCTCGGATTGCTTTACAACTCAGCCGGTGCACAACGTGGTGGGCGGATCGCCGGGAAATCCGGATTCCGGATTCTCAGGTGGCTTTACAACACAACGTGGTGGATAGATCGCCCGGAGAATCCGGATCCCGGATTCTCAGGTGGCTTTACAACACAATGTGGTGGCGGATCGCCGGGAAATCCGGATTCCGGATTCTCGGATTGCTTTAAAACGCAGCCGGTGCACAACGTGGTGGGCGGATCGCCGGGAAATCCGGATTCTGGATTCTCAGGTGGCTTTACAGCATAACGTGGTGGATAGATCGCCGGGGGAATCCAGATTCCGGATTCTCAGTTCGCTTCACAGCTCAGCCGGTGCACAACGTGGTGGGCGGATCGCCGGGGAATCCGGATTCCGGATTCTCAGGTGGCTTTACAACACAACGTGGTGGCGGATCGCCGGGGAAATCCGGATTCCGGATTCTCGGATGGCTTCACAACTCAGCCGGTTCACAACGTGGTGGGCGGATCGCCGGGAAATCCGGATTCCGGATTCTTGGATTGCTTTAAAACTCAGCCGGTGCACAACGTGGTGGGCGGATCGCCGGGAAATCCGGATTCCGGATTTTTGTTCAGTTAACACTCGCACACAGGCAATGGACATTGTGTGTTGTATGTTGTATGTTGTGTTACATTGTATGTTGTGTTGTATGTTGTATGTTATGATGTATGTTATGTTGCATGTTGTATGTTATGTTGTATGTTATTGCATGTTGTATGTTATGTAGTATGTTATGTTGTATGTTATGTATGTTACGTTGTATGTTCTGTATGTTATGTAGTATGTTATGTTGTATGTTATGTTGTATGTCATGTAGTATGTTATGTATGTTATGTTGTATGTTATGTATGTTATGTTGTATGTTATGTTTGTTATGTAGTATGTTATGTAGTGTGTTATGTTTGTTATGTAGTATGTTATGTTGTATGTTATGTTGTATGTTATGTAGTATGTTATGTAGTATGTTGTGGAGTATGTTATGTATGTTATGTTATATGTTATGTATGTTATGTAGTATGTTACGTTGTATGTTATGTTGTATGTTCTGTATGTTATGTAGTATGTTATGTAGTATGTTATGTATGTTTTGTATGTTATGTAGTATGTTATGTTGTATGTTATGTATGTTATGTAGTATGTTGTATGTTATGTATGTTATGTAGTATGTTATGTTGTATGTTATGTATGTTATGTTGTATGTTATATTTTACGTTGTATGTTATGTCTCCCCCCGTGTCTCCCCCGTGTCTCCCCCTGTCCCCGTGTCTCCCCTGTCCCCGTGTCTCTGTCCCCGTGTCTCCCCGTGTCTCCCCCGTGTCTCCCCCCGTGTCTCCCCCTGTCCCCGTGTCTCCCCTGTCCCCGTGTCTCTGTCCCCGTGTCTCCCCGTGTCTCCCCCGTGTCTCCCCCGTGTCTCCCCCTGTCCCCGTGTCTCCCCTGTCCCCGTGTCTCTGTCCCCGTGTCTCCCCGTGTCTCCCCCCGTGTCTCCCCCCGTGTCTCCCCCTGTCCCCGTGTCTCCCCCTGTCACCCTGTCCCCGTGTCTCTGTCCCCGTGTCTCCCCCGTGTCTCCCCCCGTGTCTCCCCCGTGTCTCCCCGTGTCTCCCCCTGTCCCCGTGTCTCCCCCGTGTCTCTCCCCCTGTCTCACCGTGTCTCCCTGTGTCTCCCCCTGTCCCCGTGTCTCTGTCCCCGTGTCTCCCTGTGTCTCCCCCTGTCCCCCTGTCTCCCCCGTGTCTCCCCCTGTCCCCGTGTCTCCCCCGTGTCTCCCCCTGTCCCCGTGTCTCCCCCGTGTCTCCCCCTGTCCCCGTGTCTCCCCCTGTCGCCCTGTCTCCCCCGTGTCTCCCCCGTGTCTCCCCGTGTCTCCCCCTGTCCCCGTGTCTCCCCCGTGTCTCTGTCCCCGTGTCTCCCCCTGTCCCCGTGTCTCCCCCTGTCCCCGTGTCTCCCCCTGTCCCCGTGTCTCCCCGTGTCTCTCTCCCCGTGTCTCCCCCTGTCCCCGTGTCTCCCCCGTGTCTCCCCGTGTCTCACCCTGTCCCCGTGTCTCCCCCGTGTCTCCCCCTGTCCCCGTGTCTCACCCTGTCCCCGTGTCTCCCCCGTGTCTCCCCCGTGTCTCACCCTGTCCCCGTGTCTCCCCCGTGTCTCCCCCGTGTCTCACCCTGTCCCCGTGTCTCCCCGTGTCTCCCCGTGTCTCCCCGTGTCTCACCGTGTCTCCCCGTGTCTCCCCCGTGTCTCCCCGTGTCTCCCCCGTGTCTCCCCCTGTCCCCGTGTCTCCCACAGACTATAGTGCTGCTCAGGAGCGGCAGTACCAGAGACTCGTGAGGCAGATCAAGCCAGACGTGTCTCCTCCTCCGTGTCTCCCCGTGTCTCCCCCGTGTCTCCCCCGTGTCTCCCCCGTGTCTCCCCGTGTCTCACCCTGTCCCCGTGTCTCCCTGTGTCTCCCACAGACTATAGTGCTGCTCAGGAGCGGCAGTACCAGAGACTGGTGAGGCAGATCAAGCCAGACCTGTCTCCTCCTCCGTGTCTCCCCCGTGTCTCCCCCGTGTCTCCCCCTGTCCCCGTGTCTCCCCCGTGTCTCCCCCGTGTCTCACCCTGTCCCTGTGTCTCCCACAGACTATAGTGCTGCTCAGGAGCGGCAGTACCAGAGACTCGTGAGGCAGATCAAGCCAGACCTGTCTCCTCCTCCGTGTCTCCCCCGTGTCTCCCCCGTGTCTCCCCCTGTCCCCGTGTCTCCCCCGTGTCTCCCCCGTGTCTCCCCGTGTCTCACCCTGTCCCCGTGTCTCCCACAGACTATAGTGCTGCTCAGGAGCGGCAGTACCAGAGACTCGTGAGGCAGATCAAGCCAGACCTGTCTCCTCCTCCGTGTCTCCCCCGTGTCTCCCCCGTGTCTCCCCGTGTCTCCCCCGTGTCTCCCCCTGTCCCCGTGTCGCCCCGTGTCTCCCCCGTGTCTCCCCGTGTCTCCCCGTGTCTCCCACAGACTATAGTGCTGCTCAGGAGCGGCAGTACCAGAGACTCGTGAGGCAGATCAAGCCAGACCTGTCTCCTCCTCCGTGTCTCCCCCGTGTCTCCCCCGTGTCTCCCCGTGTCTCCCCCGTGTCTCCCCCTGTCCCCGTGTCTCCCCGTGTCTCCCCCGTGTCTCCCCGTGTCTCCCCGTGTCTCCCACAGACTATAGTGCTGCTCAGGAGCGGCAGTACCAGAGACTCGTGAGGCAGATCAAGCCAGACCTGGAGGAGTACCGCACTCAGAGGGAGCGAGCGTGAGTACACGGGGCGGACACGCTCCGTGTCTGTCTCCCTGTCTGTCTCCCTGTGTGTCTCACTGTCTGTCTCACTGTGTGTCTCCCTGTCTGTCTCCCTGTCTGTCTCCCTGTCTGTCTCCCTGTCTGTCTCCCTGTGTGTCTCACCGTGTGTCTCACTGTGTGTCTCACTCTGTGTCTCACTGTGTGTCTCCCTGTGTGTCTCCCTGTCTCACTGTGTGTCTCACTGTCTGTCTCACTGTCTGTCTCACTGTGTGTCTCCCTGTGTGTCTCCCTGTCTCACTGTGTGTCTCACTGTGTGTCTCACTGTGTGTCTCACCGTGTGTCTCACTGTCTGTCTCCCTGTCTCACCGTGTGTCTCCCTGTCTCACTGTGTGTCTCACTGTCTGTCTCCCTGTCTGTCTCCCTGTGTGTCTCCCTGTGTGTCTCTGTGTCTGTCTCCCTGTCTGTCTCCCTGTGTGTCTCACTGTGTGTCTCACTGTGTGTCTCACTGTGTGTCTCACCCTGTGTCTCACTGTGTGTCTCACTGTGTGTCTCACTGTGTGTCTCACTGTGTCTCACTGTGTGTCTCACCCTGTGTCTCACTGTGTGTCTCACCGTGTCTCACCGTGTGTCTCACTGTGTGTCTCACTGTGTGTCTCACTGTGTGTCTCACTGTGTGTCTCACTGTGTGTCTCACTGTGTGTCTCACCGTGTGTCTCACCGTGTGTCTCACCGTGTGTCTCACTGTGTGTCTCACCGTGTGTCTCACCGTGTGTCTCACTGTGTGTCTCACTGTGTGTCTCACTGTGTCTCTGTCTCACTGTGTGTGTCTCACTGTGTGTCTCACTGTGTGTCTCACTGTGTGTCTCACTGTGTGTCTCACTGTGTGTGTCTCACTGTGTGTCTCACTGTGTGTCTCACTGTGTGTCTCACTGTGTGTCTCACTGTGTGTGTCTCCCTGTGTGTGTCTCCCTGTGTGTCTCCCTGTGTGTCTCACCGTGTGTCTCACTGTGTGTCTCACTGTGTGTCTCACCCTGTGTCTCACTGTGTCTCACTGTGTCTCACTGTGTGTCTCTGTGTGTCTCTCTGTGTGTCTCACTGTGTGTCTCACCCTGTGTCTCACTGTGTGTCTCACTGTGTGTCTCACTGTGTGTCTCACCCTGTGTCTCACTGTGTGTCTCACTGTGTGTCTCACCGTGTGTCTCACCGTGTGTCTCACTGTGTGTCTCACCGTGTGTCTCACTGTGTGTCTCACTGTGTGTCTCACTGTGTGTCTCACTGTGTGTCTCACTGTGTGTCTCACCGTGTGTCTCACTGTGTGTCTCACCGTGTGTCTCACTGTGTGTCTCACTGTGTGTCTCACCCTGTGTCTCACTGTGTGTCTCACTGTGTGTCTCACTGTGTGTCTCACTGTGTGTCTCACTGTGTGTCTCAGTGTCTCACCGTGTGTCTCACCGTGTGTCTCACTGTCTGTCTCCCTGTGTCTCCCTGTGTCTCCCTGTGTCTCACCCTGTGTCTCACTGTGTGTCTCACTGTGTGTCTCACTGTGTGTCTCACTGTGTCTCACCGTGTGTCTCACTGTGTCTCACTGTGTGTCTCACCGTGTGTCTCACTGTGTGTCTCCCTGTCTCACCGTGTGTCTCACTGTGTGTCTCACTGTGTGTCTCACTGTGTGTCTCACCCTGTGTCTCACTGTGTGTCTCACTGTGTGTCTCACCGTGTGTCTCACTGTGTGTCTCCCTGTCTCACCGTGTGTCTCACTGTGTCTCACCGTGTGTCTCACTGTGTGTCTCACTGTGTGTCTCACTGTGCGTCTCACTGTGTGTCTCACTGTGTGTCTCACTGTGTGTCTCACCGTGTGTCTCACTGTGTGTCTCACTGTGTGTCTCTGTGTCTCACCCTGTGTCTCACTGTGTGTGTCTCTGTGTGTCTCACTGTGTGTCTCACTGTCTCACCGTGTGTCTCACTGTGTGTCTCACTGTGTGTCTCACCGTGTGTCTCACCGTGTGTCTCACTGTGTGTCTCACTGTGTGTCTCACCGTGTGTCTCACCGTGTGTCTCACCGTGTGTCTCACTGTGTGTCTCACTGTGTGTCTCACTGTGTGTCTCACTGTGTGTCTCACCGTGTGTCTCACCGTGTGTCTCACTGTGTGTCTCACCGTGTGTCTCACTGTGTGTCTCACTGTGTGTCTCACCGTGTGTCTCCCTGTCTCACTGTGTGTCTCCCTGTCTCACTGTGTGTCTCACTGTGTGTCTCACTGTGTGTCTCACCGTGTGTCTCACTGTGTGTCTCACTGTGTGTCTCACTGTGTGTCTCACCGTGTGTCTCACTGTGTGTCTCACTGTGTGTCTCACTGTGTGTGTGTCTCACTGTGTGTCTCACCGTGTGTCTCACCCTGTGTCTCACTGTGTGTCTCACTGTGTGTGTCTCACCGTGTGTCTCACTGTGTGTCTCACTGTGTGTCTCACCGTGTGTCTCACTGTGTGTCTCACTGTGTGTCTCACCCTGTGTCTCACTGTGTCTCACTGTGTGTCTCACTGTGTGTCTCACTGTGTCTCACTGTGTGTCTCACTGTGTGTCTCACTGTGTGTCTCACTGTGTGTCTCACTGTGTGTCTCACCGTGTGTCTCACTGTGTGTCTCACTGTGTCTCACCGTGTGTCTCACTGTGTGTCTCACTATGTGTCTCACTGTGTGTCTCACTGTGTGTCTCACTGTGTGTCTCACTGTGTGTCTCACTGTGTGTCTCACTGTGTCTCTCACTGTGTGTCTCACTGTGTGTCTCACTGTGTGTCTCACTGTGTCTCACCGTGTGTCTCACCGTGTGTCTCACTGTGTGTCTCACTGTGTCTCACCGTGTGTCTCACTGTGTGTCTCACTGTGTGTCTCACTGTGTGTCTCACTGTGTCTCTCACTGTGTGTCTCACTGTGTGTCTCACTGTGTGTCTCACCGTGTGTCTCACTGTGTGTCTCACTGTGTGTCTCACTGTGTGTCTCACTGTGTCTCTGTCTCACTGTGTGTGTCTCACTGTGTGTCTCACTGTGTGTCTCACTGTGTGTCTCACTGTGTGTCTCACTGTGTGTCTCACTGTGTGTCTCACTGTGTGTCTCACTGTGTGTCTCACCCCGTGTCTCACCGTGTGTCTCACTGTGTGTCTCACTGTGTGTCTCACTGTGTGTGTCTCACTGTGTGTCTCACTGTGTGTCACACTGTGTGTCTCACTGTGTGTCTCACCGTGTGTCTCACTGTGTCTCACTGTGTGTCTCACTGTGTGTCTCACTCTGTGTCTCACCGTGTGTCTCACTGTGTGTCTCACTGTGTGTCTCACCGTGTGTCTCCCTGTCTCACTGTGTGTCTCCCTGTCTCACCGTGTGTCTCACTGTGTGTCTCACTGTGTCTCACCGTGTGTCTCACTGTGTGTCTCACTGTGTCTCTCACTGTGTGTCTCACTGTGTGTCTCACTGTGTGTCTCACTGTGTCTCACCGTGTGTCTCACTGTGTGTCTCACTGTGTGTCTCACTGTGTCTCACCGTGTGTCTCACTGTGTGTCTCACTGTGTGTCTCACTGTGTGTCTCACTGTGTCTCTCACTGTGTGTCTCACTGTGTGTCTCACTGTGTGTCTCACCGTGTGTCTCACTGTGTGTCTCACTGTGTGTCTCACTGTGTGTCTCACTGTGTCTCTGTCTCACTGTGTGTGTCTCACTGTGTGTCTCACTGTGTGTCTCACTGTGTGTCTCACTGTGTGTCTCACTGTGTGTCTCACTGTGTGTCTCACTGTGTGTCTCACTGTGTGTCTCACCCCGTGTCTCACCGTGTGTCTCACTGTGTGTCTCACTGTGTGTCTCACTGTGTGTGTCTCACTGTGTGTCTCACTGTGTGTCACACTGTGTGTCTCACTGTGTGTCTCACCGTGTGTCTCACTGTGTCTCACTGTGTGTCTCACTGTGTGTCTCACTCTGTGTCTCACCGTGTGTCTCACTGTGTGTCTCACTGTGTGTCTCACCGTGTGTCTCCCTGTCTCACTGTGTGTCTCCCTGTCTCACTGTGTGTCTCACTGTGTGTCTCACTGTGTGTCTCACCGTGTGTCTCACTGTGTGTCTCACTGTGTGTCTCACTGTGTGTCTCACCGTGTGTCTCACTGTGTGTCTCACTGTGTGTCTCACTGTGTGTGTGTCTCACTGTGTGTCTCACAGTGTGTCTCACCCTGTGTCTCACTGTGTGTCTCACTGTGTGTGTCTCACCGTGTGTCTCACTGTGTGTCTCACTGTGTGTCTCACCGTGTGTCTCACTGTGTGTCTCACTGTGTGTCTCACCCTGTGTCTCACTGTGTCTCACTGTGTGTCTCACTGTGTGTCTCACTGTGTCTCACTGTGTGTCTCACTGTGTGTCTCACTGTGTGTCTCACTGTGTGTCTCACTGTGTGTCTCACCGTGTGTCTCACTGTGTGTCTCACTGTGTCTCACCGTGTGTCTCACTGTGTGTCTCACTATGTGTCTCACTGTGTGTCTCACTGTGTGTCTCACTGTGTGTCTCACTGTGTGTCTCACTGTGTGTCTCACTGTGTCTCTCACTGTGTGTCTCACTGTGTGTCTCACTGTGTGTCTCACTGTGTCTCACCGTGTGTCTCACTGTGTGTCTCACTGTGTGTCTCACTGTGTCTCACCGTGTGTCTCACTGTGTGTCTCACTGTGTGTCTCACTGTGTGTCTCACTGTGTCTCTCACTGTGTGTCTCACTGTGTGTCTCACTGTGTGTCTCACTGTGTGTCTCACTGTGTGTCTCACCCCGTGTCTCACCGTGTGTCTCACTGTGTGTCTCACTGTGTGTCTCACTGTGTGTGTCTCACTGTGTGTCTCACTGTGTGTCACACTGTGTGTCTCACTGTGTGTCTCACCGTGTGTCTCACTGTGTCTCACTGTGTGTCTCACTGTGTGTCTCACTCTGTGTCTCACCGTGTGTCTCACTGTGTGTCTCACTGTGTCTCACTGTGTGTCTCACTGTGTCTCACCGTGTGTCTCACTGTGTGTCTCACTGTGTGTCTCACTGTGTGTCTCACTGTGTGTCTCACTGGGTGTCTCACTGTGTGTCTCACCGTGTGTCTCACTGTGTGTCTCACTGTGTGTCTCTGTGTCTCACCGTGTGTCTCACTGTGTGTCTCACTGTGTGTCTCACTGTGTGTCTCACCGTGTGTCTCACCGTGTGTCTCACTGTGTGTCTGTGTGTCTCACTGTGTGTCTCACTGTGTGTCTCACCCTGTGTCTCACTGTCTCACTGTGTGTCTCACTGTGTGTCTCACTGTGTGTCTCACTGTGTGTCTCACTGTGTGTCTCACTGTGTGTCTCACTGTGTGTCTCTGTGTCTCACCGTGTGTCTCACTGTGTGTCTCTGTGTCTCACTGTGTGTCTCACCGTGTGTCTCACCCTGTGTCTCACTGTGTGTCTCACTGTGTGTCTCACTGTGTGTCTCACTGTGTGTCTCACCGTGTGTCTCACTGTGTGTCTCACCGTGTGTCTCACTGTGTGTCTCACTGTGTGTCTCACCGTGTGTCTCACTGTGTGTCTCACTGTGTGTCTCACTGTGTGTCTCACTGTGTGTCTCACTGTGTGTCTCACTGTGTGTCTCACTGTGTGTCTCACTGTGTGTCTCACTGTGTGTCTCACTGTGTGTCTCACCGTGTGTCTCACTGTGTGTCTCACTGTGTGTCTCACTGTGTGTCTCACTGTGTGTCTCAGTGTCTCACTGTGTGTCTCACTGTGTGTCTCACTGTGTGTCTCACTGTGTGTCTCAGTGTCTCACTGTGTGTCTCACTGTGTGTCTCACTGTGTGTCTCACTGTGTGTCTCACCGTGTGTCTCACCGTGTGTCTCACCGTGTGTCTCACCGTGTGTCTCACTGTGTGTCTCTGTGTCTCACTGTGTGTCTGTGTGTCTCACCGTGTGTCTCACTGTGTGTCTCACTGTGTGTCTCACCGTGTGTCTCACTGTGTGTCTCACTTTGTGTCTCACTGTGTGTCTCACTGTGTGTCTCACTGTGTGTCTCACTGTGTGTCTCACCGTGTGTCTCACTGTGTGTCTCACCGTGTGTCTCACTGTGTGTCTCACTGTGTGTCTCACTGTGTGTCTCACCGTGTGTCTCACTGTGTGTCTCACTGTGTGTCTCACTGTGTGTCTCACTCTGTGTCTCACTCTGTGTCTCACTGTGTGTCTCACTGTGTGTCTCACTGTGTGTCTCACTGTGTGTCTCACTGTGTGTCTCACTGTCTCACTGTGTGTCTCACCGTGTGTCTCACCGTGTCTCACTGTGTGTCTCACCGTGTGTCTCACTGTGTGTCTCACCGTGTGTCTCACTGTGTGTCTCACTGTGTGTCTCACTGTGTGTCTCACCGTGTGTCTCACTGTGTGTCTCACTGTGTGTCTCACTGTGTGTCTCACTGTGTGTCTCACTGTGTGTCTCACTGTCTCACTGTGTGTCTCACTGTGTGTCTCACTGTGTGTCTCACTGTGTGTGTGTGTCTCACTGTGTGTCTCACCGTGTGTCTCACTGTGTGTCTCACTGTGTGTCTCACTGTGTGTCTCACTGTGTGTCTCACCGTGTGTCTCACCGTGTGTCTCACTGTGTGTCTCACTGTGTGTCTCACTGTGTCTCACCGTGTGTCTCACTGTGTGTCTCACCGTGTGTCTCACTGTGTGTCTCACTGTGTGTCTCCCTGTGTGTCTCACTGTGTGTCTCACTGTGTGTCTCACTGTGTGTCTCACTGTGTGTCTCACTGTGTGTCTCACCGTGTGTCTCACCGTGTGTCTCACTGTGTGTCTCACTGTGTCTCACTGTGTGTCTCACTGTGTGTCTCACCGTGTGTCTCACTGTGTGTCTCACCGTGTGTCTCACTGTGTGTCTCACTGTGTGTCTCACCGTGTGTCTCACTGTGTGTCTCACTGTGTCTCACTGTGTGTCTCACCGTGTGTCTCACTGTGTGTCTCACCCTGTGTGTCACTGTGTGTCTCTGTGTGTCTCACTGTGTGTCTCACTGTCTCACCCTGTGTCTCACTGTGTGTCTCACTGTGTGTCTCACTGTCTCACCCTGTGTCTCACTGTGTGTCTCACCGTGTGTCTCACCGTGTGTCTCACCGTGTGTCTCACCGTGTCTGTCTCTCCCTGTGTCTCTCTCACCGTGTGTCTCTCCCCGTGTCTCCCTGTGTCTCCCCGTGTCTGTCTCTCCCCGTGTCTTTCTCACCCTGTGTCTCTCCCTGTGTCTCTCCCCGTGTCTCCCCGTGTCTCACCGTGTCTCTCTCACCCTGTGTCTCCCCGTGTCTCTCTCACCGTGTGTCTCCCCGTGTCTCACCGTGTCTCATCGTGTCTCCCCGTGTCTCCCCGTGTCTCTCTCACCGTGTGTCTCCCCGTGTCTCACCGTGTCTCTCCGTGTGTCTCACACAGTGGAGAAGATTTGTTCCCAACTGCGGACAGCCTGTCCCACGGTTCTCACCGTGTCTCTCTCCCCGTGTCTCCCCGTGTCTCTCTCACCGTGTGTCTCTCACCATGTGTCTCCCCGTGTCTCACCGTGTCTCTCTCTCCCCGTGTCTCACCGTGTCTCTCTCTCCCCGTGTCTCCCCGTGTCTCTCTCACCGTGTCTCTCTCACCGTGTCTCCCCGTGTCTCTCTCACCGTGTGTCTCTCACCATGTGTCTCACTGTGTGTCTCTCACCGTGTGTCTCTCACCATGTGTCTCACTGTGTGTCTCTCCCCGTGTGTCTCTCACCATGTGTCTCTGTCTCTCCCCGTGTCTCTCTCCGTGTGTCCCACAGTGGAGAAGATTTGTTCCCAACTGCGGACAGCCTGTCCCACGGATCTCACCGTGTCTCTCTCACCGTGTGTCTCCCCGTGTCTCACCGTGTCTCATCGTGTCTCCCCGTGTCTCACCGTGTCTCTCCGTGTGTCTCCCACAGTGGAGAAGATTTGTTCCCAACTGCGGACAGCCTGTCCCACGGTTCTCACCGTGTCTCTCTCCCCGTGTCTCCCCGTGTCTCTCTCACCGTGTGTCTCTCACCATGTGTTTCTGTCTCTCCCCGTGTCTCTCTCCGTGTGTCTCCCACAGTGGAGAGGATTTGTTCCCAACTGCGGACAGCCTGTCCCACGGATCTCACCGTCCGTCCGAGGACGCGATTAGCCGCATGGTGACAGACGTCGAAAAACAGTGAGACAGGGAGACACGGGGAGACACGGGGAGACACAGAGGGAGACACGGGGAGACGCGCAGAGAGACAGGGAGACACTGGGAGACACTGGGAGACACGGGGAGACACGGGGAGACACTGGGAGACACGCAGAGAGACAGGGAGACACGGGGAGACACGGGGAGACACTGGGAGACACTGGGGGAGACACGCAGAGAGACAGGGAGATACAAGGAGACACGGGGAGACACGGGGAGACACTGGGAGACACTGGGAGACACTGGGGAGACATGTGGGAGACACGGGGAGACAGGGGAGACACTGGGAGACACGCAGAGAGACAGGGAGACACGGGGAGACACTGGGAGACACTGGGAGACACTGGGGAGACATGTGGGAGACACGGGGAGACAGGGGAGACACTGGGAGACACGCAGAGAGACAGGGAGACACGGGGAGACACTGGGAGACACGTGGGAGACACTGGGAGACACGTGGGAGACACTGGGAGACACTGGGAGACACGTGGGGGACACGGGGAGACACGAGGAGACACTGAGGGAGACACTGAGAGACACTGGGAGACAGGGAGACACGGGGAGACACTGGGAGACACAGGGAGACACGGGGGAGACACGGGGAGACACGGGGAGACACGGGGAGACACGGGGAGACACTGAGAGACAGGGAGACACGGGGGAGACACGGGGAGACGCGCAGAGAGACAGGGAGACACTGGGAGACACTGGGAGACACGGGGAGACGCGCAGAGAGACAGGGAGACACGGGGAGACACGGGGAGACACGGGGAGACACTGGGAGACACGGGGAGACACTGAGAGACACGGGGAGACACTGGGAGACACGGGGAGACACTGGGAGACACGGGGAGACACGGGGAGACACGGGGAGACACGGGGAGACACTGGGAGACACTGGGAGACACTGAGAGACACGGGGAGACACGGGGAGACACTGGGAGACACTGGGAGACACGGGGAGACACGGGGAGACACTGGGAGACACGGGGAGACACTGGGAGACACTGGGAGACACGGGGAGACACGGGGAGACACAGGGAGACACGGGGAGACACTGGGAGACACTGGGAGACACGGGGAGACACGTGGGAGACACGGGGAGACACTGGGAGACACGTGGAGACACTGGGAGACACTGGGAGACACTGGGAGACACGGGGAGACACTGGGAGACACTGGGAGACACTGGGAGACACGGGGAGACACGGGGAGACACGGGGAGACACTGGGAGACACGGGGAGACACTGGGAGACACGGGGAGACACGGGGAGACACGGAGAGACAGGGAGACACGGGGAGACACGGGGAGACACTGGGAGACACTGGGAGACACTGGGGAGACATGTGGGAGACACGGGGAGACACTGGGAGACACGGGGAGACACGGGGAGACACTGGGAGACACAGGGAGACACTGGGAGACACGGGGAGACACGGGGAGACACGGGGAGACACGTGGGAGACACAGGGAGACACTGGGAGACACAGGGAGACACTGGGAGACACGGGGAGACACAGAGGGAGACACGTGGGAGACACAGGGAGACACTGGGGAGACACGGGGAGACACGGGGAGACACGTGGGAGACACAGGGAGACACTGGGGAGACACTGAGAGACAGGGAGACACGGGGAGACACGGGGAGACACTGAGAGACAGGGAGACACGGGGAGACACTGGGAGACACTGGGAGACACTGGGGAGACATGTGGGAGACACGGGGAGACACTGGGAGACACGGGGAGACACGGGGAGACACTGGGAGACACAGGGAGACACTGGGAGACACGGGGAGACACGGGGAGACACGGGGAGACACGTGGGAGACACAGGGAGACACAGGGAGACACTGGGAGACACAGGGAGACACTGGGAGACACAGAGGGAGACACGTGGGAGACACTGGGAGATATTGGGAGACACGGGGAGACACGTGGGAGACACTGGGAGACACTGGGAGACACTGGGAGACACAGGGAGACACTGGGGAGACACTGGGAGACACTGGGAGACACTGGGAGACACGGGGAGACACGTTGAGACAGGGAGACACGGGGAGACACGGGGAGACACTGGGAGACACGGGGAGACACGGGGAGACACAGAGGGAGACACTGAGAGACAGGGAGACACGGTGGAGACACTGGGAGACACGGGGAGACACTGGGAGACACTGGGAGACACTGAGAGACACTGAGGGAGACACTGAGAGACACTGGGAGACACGGGGAGACACGGGGAGACACTGGGAGACACTGGGAGACACTGGGAGAAACGGGGAGACACGGGGAGACAGGGAGACACGGGGAGACACGGGGAGACACGGGGAGACACGTTGAGACACGGGGAGACACGGGGAGACACTGGGAGACACTGGGAGACACTGGGAGACACGGGGAGACACTGGGAGACACTGGGAGACACTGGGAGACACGGGGAGACACGTTGAGACAGGGAGACACGGGGAGACACGGGGAGACACTGAGAGACAGGGAGACACGGGGAGACACTGGGAGACACGGGGAGACACTGGGGGACACGGGGGGACACGGGGAGACACGGGGAGACACTGGGGGACACGGGGGGACACGGGGAGACACGGGGAGACACTGGGAGACACGGGGAGACACGGGGAGACACTGAGAGACAGGGAGACACGGGGAGACACGGTGAGACACGGGGAGACACTGGGGGACACGGGGGGACACGGGGAGACACGGGGAGACACTGGGAGACACGGGGAGACACAGGGAGACACTGAGAGACAGGGAGACACGGGGAGACTCTGGGAGACACGGGGAGACACGGGGAGACACAGAGGGAGACACTGAGAGACAGGGAGACACGGGGAGACACTGAGAGACAGGGAGACACTGGGGAGACACTGAGGGAGACACTGGGGAGACACTGGGAGACACGGGGAGACACGGGGAGACACTGAGAGACAGGGAGACACGGG